ACGGATTTTGGAGAGGGAATTCAAATTCATTTTTAAGGAAGGGGCAATTAGTGACAAAGCTGGGGCAGGGTAGGATACTTATAAATACTTCTTTTGTTAATTCACAAGTCTGAGGGTTGTAGGGATGCCCCTGATCTATTATCTGTTTAAGAAGGGGCTCAACAGTCCTGAAATTTGGTGGTGAGCTCAGTCTGGAACCCGGGGGTTCTGACCTTCAGTTCCATCTGTAACTGTTGCTACAATATAATTGCTCCTAGAAGCCAAAGCAGAGGTAGGCATTCAAATGAAGGCAGAAAAGAGGCATATAAGTGTGTGTGCACAAGTGTGGGAGTGGGCTGCAGACACCATCATTCCGTGATTTAGAACTGTCCACATGACTCATGTGGAAAATAACTACGGCAGAAAGCTGACTTTTGAACCCTGTTGGGAGCCTGACCGCTGATTGTACCTCCCTCTACAACCTGTAGTGGCTGCATCAGCAAATCCTGGCTATTTAACATTGGTATGGCGTTGACTTACTTCCAGAGTCTGCCCTGTGTTCTAAGCACAAGCACACATCGGCTCACGCTCCCCCAAGAAAGTGGCCATTTCATGGAGAATAAACCAGAATTCTCTCCACTGTTCTTCCTCCCTCACCAATTTGAATGCTGGTTTGAGGGATGTTTATGGAAGCCTCTCAAAAATCTTGCTGCGTGTGGCTTTGATAGGATCGCCTGGGATCTCTGAAAGGGTTAGGAATCAAGGGGTTGAGAAGAGAAAAGTGTCCTAGGGACTAGGGAAGTGTGGGTGCTCTGTGACTAACCATCGAGAAGATTCAGAGCAGCTCAGGTCGGGCTGGACACACCCAAGCCCTGGTGCTGTGTCTCCTCTGAGGACCTTCCAGAATCTTCTGAGAGTGCTGGGTCTGCGCAGGGACTTTCCACTTCATTGTGGGCCTGGGGTCTTCTATGAATGGCCATTTCTGGTGCCTATGCAGACAATGTCACCGTGTGCCGGTGAATAAAATGAACAATCAAAAGCAGAGCAATATTCTAGCTACTGTTTCCCTTCCCTCTAAAATGCTTCCAAGTACTAGCTCTCCTTAATTCCTTCCTATTTTAAACACACAGATATGCTTGATTTCAGGGTCTCATGGAGCAGAACAGAACAAATATCTATGGGTGCTGTCTCCGGACCTCTCTGAACTCACAAACTTCATATTCGGGAAAAGAAGGACCCCACGTCACTGTGCCAAGCTGTTCACCCAAAGTGACCCATCAGGCGCTTGCAGTCCTCACTCAAGTGTATTAGTTTAAAATGTCTTTCTGTACAGCAGCATTTTAAGCATAATTATCCCTTGTTGTCTAGAAAAGCTCTGAATATATTATACTGGAAAACAAAGTCTAGTTACAGGTCACAGAAAAGCATCATTCCCATCCCCTGCATCTGAAAGGGTTAGGAATCAAGGGGTTGAGAAGAGAAAAGTGTCCTAGGGACTAGGGAAGTGTGGGTGCTCTGTGACTAACCATCGAGAAGATTCTGAGCAGCTCAGGTCGGGCTGGACACACCCAAGCCCTGGTGCTGTGTCTCCTCTGAGGACCTTCCAGAATCTTCTGACAGTGCTGGGTCTGGGCAGGGACTTTCCACTTCATTGTGGGCCTGAGGTCTTCTATGAATGGCCATTTCTGGTGCCTATGCAGACAATGTCACCGTGTGCCGGTGAATAAAATGAACAACCAAAAGCAGAGCAATATTCTAGCTACTGTTTCCCTTCCCTCTAAAATGCTTCCAAGTACTAGCTCTCCTTAATTCCTTCCTATTTTAGACACACAGATATGCTTGATTTCAGGGTCTCATGGAGCAGAACAGAACAAATATCTATGGGTGCTGTCTCTGGACCTCTCTGAACTCACAAACTTCATATTCGGGAAAAGAAGGACCCCACGTCACTGTGCCAAGCTGTTCACCCAAAGTAACCCATCAGGTGCTTGCAGTCCTCACTCAAGTGTATTAGTTTAAAATGTCTTTCTGTACAGCAGCATTTTAAGCATAATTATCCCTTATTATCTAGAAAAGCTCTGAATATATTATACTGGAAAACAAAGTCTAGTTACAGGTCACAGAAAAGCATCATTCCCATCCCCTGCATTCTTCAGTTTTCCTACCTTCTTAATCATCCTTTAGATTTTCCCCCTTTCCTTCAAAATGGCTTTTTTTTTTTTTAAACAAAGCCTTTCCATTATAATCTGGGTCTGTAAGGCTTCTGGCTTGAACATTTATCTCCTAAACATCAAAGAGTTTATCATTACATTTACTTCTTGGTTCTCACGATATCCCTCCCTACTCGTGCTACTCGCTTTTTCAAAATTTAGGAATGAGAAGCTGTTTGGGAGAAGGTCTCTCCCATGCCCATCACACGTTCCCTTGCTCAACCACAAACACGCCTGCGATAGCGGAGTTAGTGGGCCACGTCCCACACCTTGTTGGCCAGTGAGAGCTGACCCTGCGTGTTAGAACGAGGCATGTGCGCTTGTTTTGACATGACCACACTGGAGTCAGACTTCAGAGCTAGCCTCGAGATGCTCACAGACTGATATTAACCACGGTCTGCTGCAAGCATATGGGGAAAGACAGGCTGGAGCAGATCCCAAGGAAAAGACGCAGTGGCATATTTGCCCACATTACTGCTACGGTGGCAGAGCTTGGAGAGAGTGAGAGGCAGGCGCCCACCCGCTGCGTCACCCTGGAAGGGGGACCATGCGTGCGGAGAGCGGTCCGCAAACCTCGTGAGGACCGAAGGCAACACTGCCTGAAAGTTGGGAGTCGTGAGCCATCGGGGCGGGGGGAGGAAATTGCTTCTGTCATTCATTCTGACAGGGCTTCTTAACGGGCACGCAGAGGGCTGAGGGTGGGGGGCGGGCGGGGGAGACACAGAGAGAGGACAGAAGGGTGAAGCCAGCCAGGCAAACGAGAATGAGAAATTGCAATTACGGACCTTATGGAGGAGCTGCTGGTAAGCTACTCTGGCCAAAGGAAAATGTTGATTGGACCGGTTTTCTGAGGGAAACAGACAGCCCTTCTGCAAGCAGATGGATGACAAGTCTCTGGGAGGAGGCTGTGTTGTTCATGTGTGAAACGGTCTCTGCCGAGGAGTAAAAGCGCCAAGCCATGTATGTAAGCAGGAACCACCTGGCCTGCGTGTGGCGGGGTGTGTGTGTGTGTGTGAAGGATGGAGACGTTGGCAGCCAGCGCTCTAGCTGAGAACTCCAGGACCACCCAACCAGGCGAGTCTCCATTTGTACTCTGCTCTTCCTCTCTTGCCCCCGCTTCCTCTCTTCCCACCACCCCCACCCACCCAGCACCCTCCTGCCATTTTAACCCTTCTCTAACTTCTATGCGTCTCATATCTCATGGCGCTATTCAGTATAAAACTAAGAAACTAGAAGCAACTCAAATACAAGGCAGGAACTGAGATGAAGGGACCAGAAATGATCCGCCAGCCAAGAACAGAGTCAGAACCAGCCCGTCCTCATGGACTAGGATTTCCTGGGGAGCAAGACCAGGACGGGGCCTGTGTGGAAGTGCTCAGTCTGGGTCCAGAGGTGAGCCCCACGTGGCCTGCAGTGAGGTCCGTGGCTCTCTTCTGGGCAGATCCAATAGCCATGCCTCACCAAGAATTCCTATGGTTCTTTGGAGGCTAAAAAGTAAACCAGGCTGCTCAAGAAATTCTTTGATGGACTCAGAGCTTTCATTGCCGGCCTGGGTTCAATCCTTAACTGGGGAACTAATATCCCACAAGCCATATGGCCAAAAAAGAAAAAGTAAAGTAGGCTTCTCAACCTCAGACGTATTGGCATCTTGTACTGGATAATTCCCTTGTAGGGGGGTGTCCTGTACTTTATGGATGCTAAACAACATCCAGTAGCCAGTTTCTACTCCCTAGATGCTGATAGCACCTCACCAAGCTGTGACAATGAAAAATGTCTCCAGAGATTGCCACCTGCCTCCTGGGTGGGGCGAGATCAGAACCACAGAGGTAAACATTACATAGGGTTGGCTGGTTCCAAGTGGAGATACCACCTTGCTCTGTGCGTGAAGGTTAAAAACACACACACCAACACACTCATAAACACACCCTCACATAATATTACATACAAAGACTCAGGGCAGGTGGTTCTCGCTTCTGATTTTTTTCATACTTTTATCCATCTGATTTCCTGTAAACGCTTCCAAAACTGGAGAAGAACTTCCAGGGCTCCATTTTCAAAGTGCCCTCCAGTGTTTACAGCCTCGAGCCTTGGAAACTGGGAAGGAAACACTCATTCTTTCATTCGGCTTCTGCAAAATAACGCTGCACACAGACGCTTGCCTTATTGCCGGGCTCTGCCGAGTGTCTGCACCCAAAAGAGAAAGCAGACGCCTAAAGACGGCTGGAGATGTTCCCCACAGGGCTTTGCGCCTGTTTTCAGATACCCTGACTCTGCACAGATTTTCAGTGACTGGAAGGATCGGGCTGTGGGAGGGGAGGCTTGCTGCACTCTGAATTACTTAGCTGACTCAATGGAACAGATTCACATATGGTCAGATGTACCTGAACCAATGTGATATGTATGGATTGAGTCTTTGCTATGTGTAAAGTCCAGTTACAAGGGCTAAAGGCATGTATAAGACATCGGGTCTACTACTGCTAGTATTTAAGTGCTTACACAGTGCTGTAAGAACAGTACATGCGTTTAACCCCCACAACGCCCTTTGGGAAGGAGCTACGGTGGCGCTAGTGGTAAAGAACCCACCTGCCAATGCAGGAGACATAAGAGACGAGGGTTTGATCCCTGGGTCGGGAAGATCCCCTGGAGGAGGAAATGGCAACCCACTCCAGTATTCTTGCCTGGAGAATCCCATGGACAGAGGAGNATGGCAACCCACTCCAGTATTCTTGCCTGGAGAATCCCATGGACAGAGGAGCCTGGTGGGCTACAGTCCATAGGGTCCCAAAGAGTTGGACATGACTGAAGCAACTTAGCACGCACATTAGTAAGGCATGTCTGCAAATGAGGAAACTAGACAGAGAGGTTAAGTACTTAGCCCAGTCACAGCACTAGTAGATGGCGAGTGAAGGGGCATTTGAACTCAGGCAGGCTCATGCCAGCGCCTGCACATCTAGCCAGAATTCCGCGCTGTCTTTTCTGCTACAACAGTTATACAGAACCACACGATCAGGCAGGCTGTGCTAAGTATTATAAATAGCAAAGAAGTACAAATAATAAAGGGATCTGGGAGCCCAACAAAGAGGCAGACTAGCTGGCTTTGCAGTTGGAAGTGTTCCTGGAGGAGACGGAGTGTGAGTGGAGTCCGGAAGCCTGGGGAGGATTCTGTGATGGGCTGGGGTCAGAATGAAGGGAATGTGGAAGTGAATACGCAGGGAATGTTGGAATTATGATGGGAGTCAGGGTTGGCTGGAACGTGGGCTACCAGTGGGGAGAGGAGAGAGAAGGAAGGCTGGGGAGGGTGAACAGAGGTCACCTTCGCCCTTGTGCCCGCCTCGTCATATTGCTGAGAGCTTAGGGGTTTCTGAGAAGAGGAGCGGCACTTTCTGAACTGTCTCTCTTCCCAAGAAACTGGAGTCTGCCTAATACTTCTTCTCCTATAAAGAGGTGTCCCTCTCCCCCTTCTTCCGAACACCTTTTTCTCTATTGACCAGGGACTCCCCAAGTTTCTCACATTTTAAAGTACACGTGCCTGACAGACTTGCCACTCCGGCAAAAATCACGAGTCTCAGAAGAAGTAAAGCAACTAAATGCACCTGGAACGACATAATTTTCATGGTGGGTGTTGAGATTGAGAACAGTTAAATGCCGAGAAGGGAAAGAATTCCTGAAACTGAGTGGCTTGGACCCGCATTTGCTGCACCCCTGGGACCAGCACTAGATGGAAACGATCCAATCAGGGAGGTGGGGTGGGGTTATAGTGGGGTGGGGAGGGGGGGCTAGTACATTTCAAGATGTGAGCCCCCAAGTCACCCACGTTTTTGATGTAGCTTTCCAAATCACAGCAACTAGTGTAATAAAGCTATATGGTTTGTTCGACAAGAGCCACAAAGAATAAAGGAAGGAGGGAAGGAAGACAGAACAAAAAAAGAAGAGAAGAGAAGAACAAGAAAAGGCGCACCCTGCGGAGGCCACAAGGTATTGAGGAGCCCAGCCTGCAATCCCCAAAGCTGACAGCTATTATGCATAATTAGCACAAAGCAAGATTCTGTATATACACACTATCTCCAGACATGTTTTTAAAACAAGGGCTCTGCCTTTTACCACCAATAATTTGTCTTGTTGTATGTTGTTACTTACACAGATGTTCCATAATTTTTTGCATATGGCTCAGCCAAAGAAAGCTTTTCCCCCTTCCCTTTTTGGGAAAGATGCAAAGATGCAACCGCCTGTGTGAGGGAGAGGAGGATGACTAGTTTTTACAGAACTTTCATGGTGATGATAGGGGTGGGGGTGGCTGGGGCGTACATGTGCGCGCCTGTGTGTGTGTATCTGTGTATATAGTAACAAGATTCTCTACCCAATCCTGCCAACTGCACTTTATCTGACTCTCTTTACTGAGTCATTCCAATGGGATTTGGGAGTACTCAGTACATCCAGGGTTCATGGCATTTGCCTGGGATAAGACATTATCAAAAGCCTCTCTAAAAGGGTTTGAATATTTACAGAAGAAAAAAAGAGGCGGGAGAGATGCAAATATATTTGAGGTTTTTTTTTTTTTTTTCTCTTTCTTGGCAGTCTTTGCAACTGAGAACAGCAGAGCCCGCTCATGTTTCTCTGACCTTGCTCAGCGCCGTCCAGTATGCACATATACGGTATCAGAGAACGTCCCTGCTCCATGCTTTCTTGGGAAGGACAGTCTGTGCGGATGTGGTTTATTTGGGGTGGGGGCTGGGAGTGCAGATATCAAGGGGAGGGATGAGGTCAAATCCAAGCAAACTGGGTTTTTAAGATAAAGAAATACAACTGGTTGAAGAGAAGAGGAAGAAAGGCAGATTTAAAAAGATACATCTTTTTTACTGCGATACCACCAATTGAGAGAACATTCTGCTGGGTGGGGAGGGGGGGGGATGTCTGCCAAGGACTTCTAATTCAGTTTGTTCCACCGTTTTATTTTTAAACTCAAGTGCAGATTTTATTCCTGGAATGTTATAGGATTGGTGTGGGCAGAAATGGGCAAATTTACTTCAGAGGTGTTTTATAACAACTTGGAAAAGACCCTCTAAATTCCTCCAAGTCCATTTCAGGGGTGAATTTCATTTCCTTTCTCTTCTTCGGAAAGTTACCTTGACGGTTTAAAAATTTTATATTACAAAGGAAAACCTGATTATAATTTGGAAAGCATTTCAAAATTCTGATAGTATCTATTAGACATTTACTACGAGCCAGGCACGGTAAGAATTTGCCTTCTCTCTCATTTAATGTTCACAGCTCTCACATACGGGTGAGAAACCAGGTGGGAAGGGATGTCAGAGCCTATAGTTCAAATCTCAGTCTCAACAATAGCAAATCCTTCTTGGTCACCATGCAATTATGCTTCCATGTGTCAAAGTCTGGCAAGACATACAATTAATCAAATATATACACAACTTGGCCAGTAGGCTACCATCTCTTATTCTAATAAGATGGTGGCAAAAGCAGATTCCTTAGCCTGCTTTTCTGGTGTTGATACAGCCAACAGAGGCTTGCAAAATCTCTCCAGTCTCTGAGCAAAAGTTTTGGTGGTGGGCATGTAGCGCTCTCAAAAGAACAGAGGAAGGCTTCCCAGGTAGCTCAGTGGTAAAGAATCTGCATGCAATGCAGGAGATGAGGGTTTGATCCCTGGTTCAAGAAGATGTCCTGGAGAAGGAAACGGCAACCCACGCAAGTATTCTTGCCTGAGAAATCCCACAGACAGAGGTGCCTGGCTACAGTCCATGGGGTCATGGGGTCAGAGATGACTTAGCAGCTAAAACAAAAGAGCAGAGGAATTGGTGGGTATATATTTATTTCAAAATGCACTGGCACCAGTACCAAAACTTGCTCATCCTACCCTGGCAACGTTAAAGACTGATAGAACGTCCCTCCCCGCCCTGTCTGCCAAAGCATTTACTTCAAAAATCGGTTTCCTCTGTCACTATTTATTGCCGCATTTTGCTCAGTGGTTCTGAGAAACCTCATGGAAAATCACAATGTTACACTTGTTAAATTGACCCTGCAGGGCGCTCTACCACGAGTACATGCCACATCCCAAGAGGTAAAAAGGCAAGTCAGCCAGGCTCACGCTGAGAATATCATCATGAAACCAACAAGGATATGCAAATCTGTCTGCTCTAGCTCATTTGCATAGCCTTTCATTGGTTTTGTGGAACCTCTATACTAAATGTCAATTTCCTTTTCTTTCCTAAAGCTTATTAGTTGCTTGTGATGTTTACAGCTTGAAGACCAAACAGATTTAATAGGTAAATCATTTAAGCTATATAATTAAAAAGCATGTGAAGAAGAGGGGGAAAAAAGAGGTTCTGATATAGATCAAACACAGAGATCTACTTGGGCTGTTAAAATATGCTTTCCAAGTTTGGAAGCTGTAGGGGCCTCATGCATGTCTGTGCACGCATAAGCACCACCACAAAATTTGCTTAACCTATTTTTTTTTTTTCTTTTGGCAATGATTTAGGAAAAGTAGAAAGATTTGCTTATAAACGACCAAGGGCTTGAACCTAGTCACTGAGTACACATTTTACTCACGACAAAATCTGAATGGAAGTCTGCCAGCATCTGGGCTGACATTCAAACATTCTGAGTTTCTATGTATCCTGATCCCTCAAAGCTATGTTTTAGAACTTAAAAGTTCTGATCTTTTCTGAGGCACCACAGAACTCAGCCCTCACCTCTCAATGCAGAGTGAATATATAGCAGTAATACTGGGCTCCAAAGAAGTGCAAAGAAGTCCTTTCCCACATAGCATTTATTGACAGCATCAGTTCAACAAATACATGATGGGTTCTGCACCAAATTATTTTCCCGTTTGGGTGTCAGATTTAGGAACTGGGTGAAGGTTTGGAGAAACCTTGGCAAAGTCTATAAATATTCCTTAAAGTCTATAAATATTCTTTAAAGTAATCACCTAAATAGGAAGCAGTATCATTCAGACACACTTCGCGGAATCAAGTGTAGAATCTTTTGTACTTTGAATGCAGCGGCTGAGGTCAGTACCTACTGCTATTAGTCCTTAGTTCAGCAGCTCCTCCAAGAGGTAACTAGTGATTCACACTTTCAAAGTGCTTCTTTTTTTTTCCAAAGTGCTTCTTTACTGGCAACTTTAACACAATCAGCTGACATCCCAAATTTCACATGGGCTACAGGAGAAACAACTATTCCATCTCAAATTAAATTTTATGATTGGCTTTACAAAAAGCCACAGTCTTAGGAGGTTCTGGAGGTGGGAAGACGAGAGCAATCTATCACTACAAACAGAGAGAGAGGTCTTTCCAGGTTGGACCCGTCCTTGCCACATGGAGCCCTGGTAGAGCCATGATAAAACATCACCGGAATGTTTTAATACCCCCAGGGCTACAGGTACTTTTATGTCTTGATGGAATTAGCTCTGCAGCTCCTTACTATCACACACAATCCATCCTGTTGTAAATTCCTTTCTCCCTCTAACAGTGATGGGCAGCAGGGTGAAACAGGTTGCATTCAATGGCATGAAAGAGAAGGGAGGCAAAGAAAACACTGAAAGTAAAGGCAGAAATGGTGAGGCTTCAACCACAGTCCACAGACCTAGGTCTCATTGGCTCTACTGATGAGTTATTTCCAAAGCTCAGGCAAGCCAGTCATCAGCTCCACGCCTCCATCCTCATCTGCTAAACAAGGGTCACCACACATCCTTTGACCTCAAGGAATTTTTGTGAAATTGAGAATCTTACAAAAAGCACTGCAAGCACGGATGCCAAACTATTATCTCATAATTCAGCATGCCCACATCAGACCGAGACAAGTGAAACCCCAAATTAATTTGATACCATATGCTATGGGTTGCATTTTCCAAAAGCCTTCAAAAATTGGCATTTATAATATTTGTGGGTTCCTCCTTTTCTGTGTACAGAAACATGTGCACACATCAAAACAGACCCAGTTAAATCTTAATTATCTGGTGAAGGATTATCCAAGAATCTTACTGTTTCTTCTTTTCCCTTGATGCCCATTTTTTAGCCTTTCTGGCAATTCTTATATGAAAGGAAAAGAGATGGCATGGAAATCAATAAATCCCTTTCCTTATTCATTGTAATTTCAATGTTCTGTGTTCCCTCAGACTCCATTGGCAGAAATAAGGGGCTCACAGTGGGATGAAAACATTTATCTGCATTATTGGGAAATGAAATATTTACAAAAATTAACTGCTCTTCACTTTCTAAAAATTCACTTACCAAATTGAAATTTTTCTAAGATCTGTTTCCTTCATAGTGTTACATCTAGGTATCTCTCTTTTATTTATTTTTAAAAAAATATGTATTTATTTGGCTGCACCAGGTCTTAGTTATAACATGTGAGCTCTTGGTTATAGCATATGGGATCTAGTTCCCTGACTAGGGATCAAACCTGGACCCTCTGCATTGGGAGCTCCGAATCTTAACCACTGAACCACAAGGGAAGTCCCAGTATCTGCCTTTTAAAATAAAGAATAATAATTTTAACCTTTCTTTGATGACTCAGTATTATCAATAACCATCCACTTATTATGATGCTATACTTCACAGCATAATTTTCTATCTGCTCTTGAACATTCTTTCTTCTCCTCTGATCTCAGTCTATCATGTGATACATCTGATATTTTTCACACAAAAAAAAAAAAATCATACACAGTCTCCCATATACCACACACACTCCGACAAGAAGAGAAAAACACAACAAGAAAAAAAAAAACAGGCCCCACACTCGGAGAGAGCGCCCCCTCTCTGGGGAGAAAAAACACAAAAAAGATGATAACACAAAAACACATACGCATATATGAAAAAACACACCACAGAAAAAGATAGAAGAAGATGAAAAACACGAAAAAGGGGTAAAAAAACCACAAAAACGGGGCGCCAAGAGAGAGATGGGGGTGCATTAAGGGTATTATATTAAGGAAGGTATCGTAAACATTCAGAGAGGAACTGTTCCAGCTGACCCCAGCACACTATGAAGTAACTTTACATCCTTAGCCCAAAGGACTAAAAACCAAAACAAAAGTGAAAAGATTTTAGTAAACATATTGTTGGGGTGTCACTGGTATTTTTATTCAGAAA